TATTCAACAGTTGCTAGAATGGCACAAGACATATTGACTGTCCCTTTCCCTGAAGTAGATGTTGAGCAGAAGTTCAATTCAGATTGAGACATCTATTCATATTAATGTGATCATCTTGCAGAATCAACAGTAAAGCAAATAATGATTGTTAAACATACAGTGCATGAAATTTTGGAGAATGAGCAGATATCAGCATCACAATCAGATATGAACTGTTTGATTGACAATGATAAACAAGAATTCAATGATGATAATCAACTTTTGACATCAGAGAATGAGTTGACAATTACATATTACTTTGAATCAATTGCTCAGAGTGTGTCAAATAATTGGACAACAGATGTTAATCACAGATTATGAAAGAAGAGAAAGATACAGAAGAGATTGCAGAGAGATAAGCAGAAGTTGAGAATCAATCTTGATGTGTGAAAATATGCTTAAAGCATTATCTCAGACTGTTACTTATAATTATGTAATCTAGTTTCTAGGGATCAGAGATCTCTGTCTCTTCTCAGATAGTCTCAATTCTGTCTTGATTCCAGCATCATAGTAGCTAGTCTCAATTTATAGATTCCATGGGGTTTCTTAGTAAGTTCTGTTTCAACTTCTCTAGTCCCAATCCCAACTCAATTTTTCAATCTTGGTCCCATTTCCAGCCCTGTCCCTGAAGGTCAAGCCCTGTTCCCATCCCATTTAAAAAAAAAAAAAGTTGGGATGGGATCCCAGCCAGAAAATTTCAGTCTCAGTAGTCAGCCTAGTTCTCTATCTTTTATCTTCCCACAGACCTTTCAGCAATAAACACTGATGACATACTTATCACAGATAAGTTAGATACAATAATTAAACAATTAGCAATATTTAGTGAATGAACAGTAACACTCACTAAGTACAGAAATACTTGATACATCATGACCATAGATCAACATCTCAAATTCTTTCAATTCTTCTCTGAACAGTGAAAATTCAACATACTAAAGTCAGAGAAATGATGTCTAGTACTCCAAGCTCTCATTACATCAGTTATTAATATCTACTTCAAAGGACTCTTAGACAAAGTTTAAAACAATCATCAAAATCTATTATTGAGATCTATAAAATATGAACTCATTCACTTTTTCTATTAATTCTCTGAAAAATCCATCCAAATACAACCATCTACAGCAATAAAAACAGAAATCTGAATGGCTTTGAATGAAGATGATGTTATAACAACAGAAGAAATTCAAGAATGGCTTAAACTAAGTACTGATGAAAAAAGAGACTCATACATGAAATGTCAATTCATTCTAAATGTTCTTTCTATTCTATCTCTTCAATATCAACATATTTTACATAACAATAAACACAATTTCACACTGTTAGATACATTTAAATACTATGACTGAAATCAGAAGTGAAATCAGAAAGAGACAACAGAAAGTAAATTTTAATAATAATTTACAGATTGAAGTCTCTATCACTGTATTTTAAGAGAAACAGATGAGTCAGACTATAATTTCAGAAGCTATAGCTGAAACTTCTTCAATGAGTAATTAAGAAGCATTATTAGCATAAGTTGAACACTTAATTAATGCTTTAAATGAGTCAATGAACATTGACACTTTAGAGAAAGTAATTTTAAGAGAACAGACATCAAAAGCTATTATTTTAAAGTAAAAGAACATTACAATTCAGAATCTTCTTCATGATATAGATTAAATCATCATGAAGTTTGAGACAAAGCTCAATCTCATTAAGAAAAAATAAAAAATTCAGAAATTGGAAAATTTTATTAATAATAATTCTTCATCAGAGAAAATGTCTTTCTTCAATCTGACACTTAGAATATAATCAATTTCTTCAGAATTATTTACAGAGAACATCATTGACACAACAGACATATAAATAATGATATAAGAAGCATAAATAGAGAACTCTTTTGACATTAGTAGCATAAAAGACAGAAATTCTCTGCACACTTTAATATAAAAGATGAACAAAAGATTCATTGCTCAGAATCTTAAGAATTTAGAAGAGTTTATCATCATCTCTAAAATCTTTCATTTTTATTAAGAGAAATACTTCAAAAACAATGATAAACACAAGATGTTGAAAGTCATTCAACACTTTAAATTAAAGTTATTGATTAAATGATCACATAACTTTAAGAACTCTGAGAAATGAATTTCATGAAAAGACTTAAAAGTATGATTAAAACATCAAATTGTGAATCCAGAACATGCTCTGAGAAATGCAGAATGTGAATACTTAACACTGATGCAGAAAGAAAATTAAAAGATGCATGACTTTGTCATGCAATTGAAAATTCTGAAATGCAGACTGAAACATAAATATAATGAACATCAAAAAAAGTCACATCTATATTTAAAGATGCTCAGTGAAGTACATGCAGAATATAATAAATATGTAGATAATTTTAATGCACTTAACTATAACACACTGATACAAAGACTTATTACTGCAGAGAGAAACATCTCAGAAAAACATAAGAAATTAAATTTCAAAACATTTTCTTTATTCTTCTTTTATCTGAAAGATAGTAGAAAATCCTACTATAAAGAAAAGAAAAAGAGTAAATCATAAAACAACAAAATAGATTAAAACTTAGAGTTTGATAACTTCTTAGTGAATAAAAGCAATGAAAAGTGTAAGTTTGACAATAAATTGTTATCATATTGTACTTTTCACAAATAAAAAGAGCATGCAATCAAAGATTGTTTAATTCTAAAGAAACAAAAACTGACAGACACTATGTCAAAAAATAAGTAAAAGAGTTCATTAACATTACAATGACTTTAAATTTATATAAAAAGCAGTAAAGTCTCATGTTTTTTCTGATCAAAATACAGATTCAATCAGCAATGAAGAAAGAAACAGTTCTGATCTTAATAGATTCAGAAGCAGAAGTAAATTTCATTGACTGATATCAAGTTAAATTAAAAGAACTGATTAATGATGAAAAACTCTTTAAATTAGTTAAAGCAATTAATGAATATAAAATACACATCTATGAAATTTATTATGTCACTGTAAGCAGAATCAACAATAATGAAATTACACAATTAATGAGTCAAGAGTTTAAAAGTATTGATCTAATCAATTATAATATGATTCTAGACTACTCTTGACATAAAGAAATCAACTTAATGATCAATTGACAGAAGAATAACTGAACATACTGATAAAACATCTCTGAAGATTTTTAAGAATCAGAAATTATCTCAGTTAAAGAAGCTATAACAGAACTTATTACAAAGACTTAAACTTATATGATCTCAATTGATGAAATTCTCATCAAAAATAATGATCAAGAAATCAGTACACTCAATAATAGTAATATTACAGATTTTATGTCAGAACTTACTGACTATATTTCACTATCTACACAAAACACTTTTAAGAATAACACTATTATCACAATCAATGATGCAAACATTGCAAACTCTGCATTAATTTTATCTGACTATATTACATCATATGCACATATCTTTTTTAAAGAAAACACTGTCAATTCATTCAGATCATTAAATATTAAATATGTTATAGATCTGAAAAAGAGAAAGAAATCATAATTTATATAACTTGTGCTCTTTCCAGACACTCTTGACTTGAAATACAAGCAGCATCATCAACTCAAGTGAGCTCTGAACTGACATAGACACTGTTCTAAGAGAAAAGCTAGACATGTATGTTGACATATTAAAGTTCTACAACATTTTCTTTGAATATATCTCAGAGCTGCAGACAAATGCACAGACAGTTTTTGAGAGATGCAAGAAGAGAGAGAAACTGCTCTTTCATAACAGAAATGACTGAAGAAGATGACTCAAGAGTGTAAAGCAGACATCTATGCTTGTCTAACTGTTAAAGACTATTAATAAAATAAAATAGTTTTTTGAGAAACATACATCTAATGAGAGAATTTAAAGACAGTTTCTGACACAGTCTCATAAGTTGCTAACAGACTCTACAGCTAAGTGAATGCTGAATATTGACTTCATAAATGACATTAAATCTCACAAAAAATGATTAGTATATCTGATTATAGATTCTCATCTCTAATGAGCTAAAGAACAATTTAGACTATAAAACTCAGTTCAGACAGAACATGAACAGATATATAAAAGAGATGCTGATCATATAGAGCTCTCATCTCTTTATGTCAGACTTTATACTCTGCAGATTATTTATGAGACTGTGACACTTTAACTATCTAAAAGAAATTGCATCTAAGTAATTTAACATTCATAAAAAGAATCTTTAATTTATCTCAGTCATGCTCAGATATTTGCTGATAAGTAAGAAGCAGCTTGAATTCAATTTAATAATTGTCACTGTCAATGACTCATGCTACATTAAGATAAAGCAGAATGACAGAGAGAAGTATTTAATCATTGATGAAAAGATTAAATGTGTGAGATACATTTCTGAGAGAGTGATGATATACTAAAAGATGCACTATGACAGAGATAAGTTCTGAGTGATGGTTATGATTAAAAATTTATGACAGTACTCTGAGCATGATAAGAAGAGAGAGTTACTACATAAAATGATAGAGAAGAGAATGATCAACATTACATGCTACTATCATCATAAAACTGTTCAGATGCAGAGTAGAAATAATGACATCTACAATAATGTGAGAAGAGAACTGAACATCACAGTGATAAGCAACTACAATTAAGCTGATTTCAGATCTTCACTAAGCAGAAATAAGTCTTACAAGAGAAAGAGTAATAGAGTCATTAGTCAGAAATGCTTCTTTATGTATGTTAAATCATCACTGTCATTTAGTAAATGTCAGCAGTCTCAATCTTCATTCGTCTTAAATCATATTTATTATTATGTTGTTGTTAAGAATTATGATAAGTCAATCTACATAATGAGCTCAAGAGTTGTCTTGCTGACAGCACTGAAAGAATGCATCAAAGAATATCAGTCACTTCATAAACATACTGACATGCTCCAGAGAGACATCTCCCTCAACAACCTCATGATCAATGAGAATAAGAATAGTGCATCCTACAAGGCATTCATTATCAATCTGGACCTTGCCATCTGACATTGGCCACATTCGTTTTCGACAGGATTCGGGTGTGAGTAGCAACAAGTTACAACGACTACAGAGGATAATTACCCGGGAAGGCTGCCGTCGCCTGGACGCTCAGAACCATGTCCCATGCCTGATCTCTCGTCAAGCCCTGGATAACTCGCTGCGACACGCAGCGACCAGCTCTGCCGAGTTACTGACGAACGAACCTGAGCGGTACCCCTGGCTTCAGTTTCCAGGCAATGAACTGCTCTGTCTGCATGGACGGCATCGGATCGAAGCCGGCCGGCAGGCCCTGCCTCCCTGCGATCGGTGGTGGACAGTGGATTTATACTTAGACGGTAAGCCGGCCCTCCTATGCGGAGATACGGGACTAAGTGTTTCGTAGACATAGGGCTTGAGTTGCAGGCAACACTTGCCGAAGAGTATTCCAACGAAATAGCACCCGGTGACGGCGAGATATACCGGAAGATAGAACGTTACAAGGCTGAGGGGAATGTGCAGTCCCTGGAAAGGTGGGAGTCGCGCCTCTCAGAGACCAAACTCACTAGGCTGAAACAGCTATCGAAGCATGAAAGACTGAGTGCGGCCTTTAACCGACTGCTTCCAGTTCCAGGGCTTTGGGGTGGAATGAGGCTCGGCGGCCTGGGGCCAGTATTTTCCGCTAAATGCGACGAGGTAGGGCTCTCTACTATGATCTAGCCTCTTTCTCTAACCTCACATGGACAGGAGATCATAAATTACTTAACCTATGTGTGGGTGTTCTGGTCCTCGCTTGTAGACAATGATCAATCCGCAATGGGGAAAATAGACCAGCATACCGTTGAAACCATACAGCTTACGGCTCCTGGCGCCTGTACAACCGACTCCAGGAAGGTGCATGGCCTCATTATTAGCGGGGAGGTATTCCGCAACTTCAGTAGCCGCGAGCGGGAGGCAATCTGGGGGAAACTAGAAGAGTTTGACGGTCTAATCCCATCACTATTTTCCTTTTTCGAGGACTTCAAGTATCTGGTCGCGTGCTTGCGCTGCATACGGCCGATTCTCACACTAACTAAAGCCTTCCGCACCGTCAAGCAGGCAATGGAGCACATGTTCAAAGATACCCACCAGAATAAGAACGTGTGTAAGATTCAGACGATGGAGGGCAGATTCAGGACAACGTCTGAGAGTTTTGAGTGCCGTTTCGAGCTGGGGTACCGGCAAGTCTGGCTCTACGCAATGCGCCACTACCCTGAAGCCGGAAAAGGTGCTGGGGGGGATACTTGCCTCGCCGACTCCGTGGGCAAGGACGCGGATGAAGCTACACTACACAACATGGCGGCCCTTGCGTGTGACCTTGGCTTCGAGTCCCCCCAGATAAAAACATTGCTCGAGAGCCACCCCGACAGGCTCATCGCCCGGAACGCCCTGCTCAAAGCTCGAAAACCGGGCCAATACCGATACCCCCCAGAAAAGTTCGACAACCTAGTTGATCAGATCACTCAGTTTTTTCGGGAAGCACAAACCTGCGAGGCCCAAGCATCCAATAAGCCGGTCGCCGATAGCGTTAATAAAGTTAAGGCTCGATGCGGGCAGCCTACAGCAAGATGCCAGAAACAAGATAGCCCGTATCTCTTTCTTGATTATCTTCATACTGGTAAAGAGAATATGGCCGAGTCTGTCACAGGCCTGTTTGTCCGACGCTGCGTATATCTTGCGTTCTTTGGAAAGGTTTCCCAACCCACTGCAAGTGGGCTAGAGGAGCCTGCCACAAGCGATATTCTAGATATCCCGCCATTATCAGCCAAAGAGAATGCTTCCATGAGTGAAGCCTGTTGGGGTAAACAGCGGGATTCAGATACGGCGGATGAGAGCGGCCGCGAGGCAGAGTGCTGGAAGCGCGCGAGCCAAGATATACAAGCAAAGAAAAGAGAGCGCCGGGAACAGCGCCAAAGAAGAAAAAAGAGACGGGAAAAAGCAAGGCTGTTGCGGAAACGGGCTGTCGAAGGGGGGCTGTTCGTTGAGGCTGATAATTCCGAGACAGAGCGGGCCGGAGAGCATAAGATACAATTAAAACCCGGGAATCAGCACCAATCTGATAACATGGCACGGGGTGACCAAGAGCCTAGACATGGCCGTGGCGGTAACCGAAAGATGGGTTTCTTAGAGTCGCTCTGCTCCTGGCGCTAAACGGTTCTGATTGTAAATTTATTCCTATTCATTGTTATCTACTTTTTCTCGTATTTACTGCCTGCATATAGTACATATACTGTGTAAAATACTTGTCAATTTACTAAGTCCCAGCCTTCAGAAATTCTCCGAAGAGTAAACTTGTGAAAGAGTGAATGTGTAAAGTATGGACTAGATACAACACCAGGGATATAAAAGCGTAAAGGCGCACTCCGCAAGCCACGGCATTAGGCTCTGGTTGGAGGTAGCCCGGCAGGGGAAACTCCCTTAAATCTGCCTACATCACAGCTCTTTGTGCCTGGGGACGGCCCTCCCGTAGAAACTAGACCAACGGTAGGGAGAGCCCTGCCTGGTGGTGGTGTAATGGAAAGTGAGAGCAAGTGTCTCCGCAGAGCGGCACGCGGCGAACGGCGTCGCAGGAAAGAAGAGAAACAAAGACGCGGCGCAGCGATGGAGAATGCTCCTACATGCGGGACGGCGGGCGATGATATCCAACCATCCCTTGGGTATGCTCCTCCACAGGAAGATATGAATGACTTTGGCACCGGCGCGCCGGATTCAATGCAGCTGACTCAGTACTATGTGGTCGGGGTGCGTTATGAGAGTTCCAACCTCTGTGGCTTTTTAAAAGCCAGGGAAACCCGGCAATTCTACATTTCCTAGCTGAACGTTATATCAATCCTAAGATACGGAGTAGATGTTCAAGCTTAGCGTTAGAAGTATCCTCGAACCTCGCAAGCGGCCCATTCGCCGGGGTGATTTGGCATTTCATCAGGAAACGGCATTTCCAATCTTTGGCTTTGCCGCTGATCACTCGCGAGGTGTTAACTGGGGCGTGGTAGGGCTGTTCTTGTTAGATATTTAAAGAATAACTTGAATCTCCGGCTTGGCCTTATTTTGGCCCCCAATCTGAGCAGGGTTTCTACGCCCTTCGCGCTTCGCACTTCGCACTGCAACTCCACCAGGTACATCCCTGCATTATTACTCACAGAGTCAAATGAATATCTGGATTTCTCCCCAACTCTAGTATGAGAATATGGCTGCTTTATCAAAATGCAGCTCCGTGAATAACGCAGAGCTGGGGACCCCAGTAAAGACGGCAGGGCTATCCAATAAAATTATTGTTTTATATAAGACATACTCCACAACACTCGTTTATTCTTTCCTATGTTAATGCCACACCATTAACCAATGGTAATGGCTTCTTTAAGACAACATTGAGTTGGCTTCGGCCATTGCGGCTGTTGGGTTTGCTGGTGTGTTTACGGGTCTCGACGGGGTAGATAGTGCGAATCTTAAAGCTAGTGGTGGGGAGCTGGAGGGCCCTGGCGATGCGCTGTCTTTCTGTGCCAACGGTGGCATAAGTGAGTGGGAAGTATGTACGGTGGGGTGATACGCAAACGCTCTCCTTCGTGAACAGTATCAAGGAAGAATGGGGTCCGTGCTTAGTTTAAAAAGATGGCTGATGAACATCAGAGGGTGAGGTTAGTTAAACTGAGATAGTTCTATATCTTCCCGCTTGGTCGCCCTAAGCGCCCCTATATAGTTATTTTTAGCCAAAGATGACGAGGCACTTTAATGATAAGCCAAAAATCAAAAGTCTCTGTGGAGCAAAATGAGAATGCTCGGTGAGTGGAACAACATATTTCCGTATACTGATCACGATTATTCCGATTACGACTTGGCTGCTTTTTCACGTCCCTGTGCCCGTGTTCTCGACTCTCGACAGACCCTGGGAGTGGGAGCCTAGCAAGGTGAAAAAAATAGATATGAAAAGAATTCAATGCTTTACTACTTGATGGCTATGTATAAAGGGTTAAAGGCCTAATTTGGGAAAGACTTGTCGCTAGCACTGTTGGCTCGGGTTCTTGCTCTTTTAGTATGTTTATTTGAATGAAGCCTGAGGATCCTCGACGCTATATTATTAGGCTGTGCAAACACACAGCATCGTGGAACTCAGCTTCATCAGATGTAGCTGATGTATTAGAGTCATCTAAAGTGACAGCAGAAGTCGCCTCATATTTAGATGAGAGAAGTTTAGTTTGAGGTTGCCGTCAATAATTGGCAAGACAGACATTGTTATAGGTTGGTTTCTCTTTAGATGCTGTTAACTAAAAGGGGCGTGCAAGCTAGGCAGATCTAGACTGTCTTTATACTCTATTGCTGCAGAAGAGACATTATCAGATGCCCTTAGACAAAACAAAATAAAGCCAGGGGTGGTAGTATGTCTCATCGTGAACGGGATCCATAATAAGTGGTAGATATTTTGTCCTCCATTCTTCTTGGAGAGCATCACTGAAGTGTTCTGGGTTCAGTCTCACCCGTTTGGCCTTGCAATACTCCCAGTACGCAGGATACCACCCAGCCTGGCCCCAGTCAATAATTGCTGCCACTTTTGGATTTGGTCCTAGGGATAGGAGGATATTGGGTGCAACAAGGTCAGAATGTGTGAATATAATTGGCACATCAGTACTAATTTCAATACCACAAGCATCTTGAAACTGTTTAACCGCTTTAACACCTTGAAATGGCCCTGTAAGTTCTGGACGATGTGCAACGAATATGTCATTAAGTGGTTGCTTGCCCTGGCTACCTATAATATAGGTATTTTAGATTAGATGTGTTTAAATATTATATCTAGAAAAATTTACTTACCGATATAGTAATCATGTGTATCTTGCTTCAAAGACCTCCATGCCTCCACCATATACCTAAGTTCCTTACAGATTGTCCATCTCTCATGGTCGTTCATATCTCTCCATCTCTCCTGTAGAGTCTCGCCCTCAATCAAGGACATGTAGATAAACCGTTGACCCCCATCCTCCGCCCAACCAAAGACTTCGGGGACAGGTACTCGGCCTTGCAATTTCTCGCGTACCATTATCTGAGTCTGAGCTTCGACAATAGTTACATCAGCTCAATACTTGACAAACAGTCCTAGTGACGGGATCCTAAGAGGTTGTGGGCGATTGAAGTTTGTGGCGAGGACGTTGTCCGACTTCTGGTTGATAGCCCTAATATCGGCTGGCGTTGGAAGTGTAGGCGCCCGTTTCTCCTTGAAGAAGCTGGAGTTGGGAAAGGTCTTCATGTGGCTAGAAGAACAGGAGTGATCGGAGCCGGTATCTAGTTTCGATGTATCCGTGGTTGACTTTGGATGAGGAAGCAATAGAGGCAGTAAGCTATCGGGCTGCATCTGGGAATGTGTTTGGGGAGAGGGTGTAGGCACAGGCTTCGTTCGTTCACCATTTCGAGGTTGCAGCTAACAAGACCAGGTGAGGCAGCAGCTAGTTAAGTTAGTGTCAGTTTTTGTATTAGTCAGCTCTCGCTACATCTCGCTTGGCTATCAGGCCTCTACGGCATACCAGAATGGCCAGAAGGAAACAATGAAAAATAAGAAAAGCTAGGGTAAAGCCCTATCTCACTGCCTCACTCACCGCCTTCCAGCTCATTACAAATTTTATGAAGATCATCATCAAAGTTTAAATATTCAGAAACTTAATAATTGTAATATTTTTAAATACAATATATTAATATATTTATTTAAATTAAACTGACTGTAAAA